GCCCTCCCAGCCTGCTCTGATCCTGTCAGCTTCCTGTGTGAATGAACTTTGAAGACATTGCTTCCTAACAGTAGCATCATTCCTGTTGTTCATTGTTTATCCCTTTATTTGTACATACAGTACAGGCCAAATGTTTGGACACACCTTCTCATTCAATGTGTTTTCTTTATTTTCATGACCATGACCATTTACAAAGGGGCCAACAAGCACTAAACACCTCTGGGACCTCCTTTAAGACTGTTGGAACACCATTTCTATTGACCTCTTGAAGCTCAAGAGAATGCAAAAAGTGTGCAAAGCAGTGATCAGAGCAAAGGGTTGCTTTTCTGAAGAAAATAGAATATAAAACATGTTTTCAGTTATTTCACCTTTTTTGGTTAGTACAAAACTCCACGTGTTCATTCATAGTTTTGATGCCTTCATTGAGAATCTCCCATGAAAACAAAGAAAACACATTTAATGAGAAGGTGTGTCCAAACATTTAGCCTGCTGTACATGCAGTAAAAGATAAAGAAACTAGGGACGCATCTATATGAAAATCGATATTATTGCCATACCTGATAACCAATATTTACCAATTATGCATTAATATAAGAAGTAATGTAATAAAATGTCAATGCACTGAAATATTGTGATATTTTGTGTAATGATACTGAATCAATATTTTAAAGCAGTGTATCAATTTTTATTTGAGAATTCACACGCAAACCTTTACTATATTTCTTTTCTGAGGTGCAATTCAAACCCCGACTGCTAGGTGGCAGCAGATTTTACAGCCTTCACTCTGACAGAGCAACAGAATATTGCGGTAACACTTGACACACTTGGAGACATCCGGCCCGAATTTTTTAATTAGGTTAAGTAAAAAATTACAAATATAGTCGGGCTTTTATTATCGCTAAATATTGTATATTCTCCTCTGTATTTGTGATATGTACCATATTGCCAGATTCATGCCGATAAACACCCCAAATACATGAATTGTACATAACTATAATAATATATTAATATATACTCTAACCACACATATTTACGCAGCCTGGGGCACACCGAAGGCGGACAGGCCACGTCGTGCCTGAAATTTAGAGAAGTCAAGTGGTCACGCAGAACGCGCCGCACCACTGAGCATTTCTAGGAAAGTCGCTCGACAGTCACAACATCACGTGGGACTTGAGAACAGAAAACGGGAAGTGATTCTATTGTTTATACATGATCAGACAGACTTGCTGTTGTGTTTTGTGAGACTCGAATTTATTAAAAATGGGTAAGTACGCTATTTATTAGAATATTTTAAGATCAATGGTACTTTCAAGGTACAAATACTGTGGCTGGGTTTGTGCCGTAAAGCCGTTCCAAGTCGTAATATCTGTTGTAAAGTACTCCACAATGTTGTAAACAGAACAACACTGAGATAGAACTGGCGCCTATCTTCAGCTCCTGCACGGCATGTCCACCTCTGGTGGACCCCACGCGATGATTAATATCGCTGTCATATGACCAAACAATTATGCATTAACACCCCTTACCCTTCTGAACCTAATACACAAAAGGCCACTAAAGAGAAAAAAACTATTGGTTGTGAATATTGGCCGTGTTTCATATATTGGACCAATACCGATATGGTAAAAATGACTAACATCGGCCAATACCAATATTGAAGCTGATACCATGCACCTCTAAAAGAAACAATTGGTTGTGCTGTGTTTTGTGGAGAGAACGACTGAGGGCTGGGGTGTAATGCACTGGTTGTGTATTGGTGACGTATGACGGCTGTGTTTTAATCTGTATGTAGTGTTATTCACGAAATACACTAAAATATGGTCTACAAATAAAATTGGATTTGATTATTTAAGATAACATGAAGTGAGTTAGCTCTAATAAAATGTACCCAGCAAACAGGAAAGACAGAATGTTTATCTCACTAAAAGAAATTGTGGATGTTATAATTTGGAATCACACCCAATAGAAACATATAACGCTTTAGGATAATTTATTCATATGGCCTGCTCACATCATGATGTACAGCATCACCGCCTGCTAATTCTGAGGTGTTGTCCACAGGTAGCCTTCCCAAAAAATAGCATCCACACCACCTTGTTTTTAGAAAAAGCTCCATCCATACGTAACCGCATAAGTGCACTGTTTAGCACATTCATAGGCATGCCAGACATGTAGGTGGCAGTAATTCCTCTGAATCGTATCCATTTCTTCTTCCTGCTCAACTTCAACAAAACATGAAACATGTCGCATAGCTTGTTTGTGTGGACCAATAAGGAGGCAGAATTGCTCTTAAATGTAGTCTTATAACTAGTTTAACTACTAGTTAAATGTAGTTTGAAAATGCGAGCACAACTCTGAGGGCATCCATGTTGTAGTGTAAACACAGGTCGCACATGGGCCGTCAGCATTTTTGTCTCAGACGGTAACATGAAACCTAAAACTCTGGATATTTCTGTCCACACCAGGGCTGCCAACTCTTACGCATTTGACCCTCTTCACACGCACTCACGCCGCACCTCCACCTATATAGAATAATAAATCAAACTGTTGTGTTTCCTGTTTTGGGTAGCAGTCCTTAACAGTCTCTCTGAGGGCGTTTCTCAATGCCAAGGAACCTTGCCTTGATGTCTTGGACCCGCCCCGGTTGCCTAGGAGATACGTCATCGGGAGTCGCCAAGACGTGTTCCAATGTTCATGTTCCACTGAGGCGGGTGTTCTCCGTTTGTTAGCCGTTTAGCTAGCTGAGCGAGGATACATGGGAGGTGTCTTGTAGCCTAGCCTTGGTCAAAAATTACCCAGAATACATCACTGTGTTTTCAAAAGGACGGCTGATCAGAAGCCGGCAGCTACTTCTGAGGCAAATTTCAAGTTTAAAAGTAAGTCGACTAATTTAAAATGTTTTTTAGATCCAAAGAAGTTATCTATGGTTGGTTAGTTGCTTAGTAGTTGAAGCTTCGGTGTCTAGCGGGTAGTAACTCACTTATATTTTTTATTTAATAAACATATACACAATTTAAAAAGTAAAAGCCTCGTTATATATTTATATTGAAACTAATACGTACGAAATATAACGTTATCTCCCGTGTCACGTGACGTTAAGTGATCACCGTGGAAGCCGCGGCCACGTGATGCAAGTCAGTTCCATTTAACTGTTTTCTTTAACCAAAGAAGGACAGTGTCCTCGTAAGAAAGGCGCCAGGCCTCGCAAGACATCGTCTCGCAAGGCCAGGTGCCTTGACATTGAGAAACACCCTAAGACTGGGCCTAGAGAGCTTCTCACATGTCAGCAGAACAGCCGTCCGTTCTGCTGGCATGGAAAATCTCTGTCACACGCATCAGTCCGCCACTTTACACAGATTATGCTATTAAACATCACTGACAAGACAAAGGATGCTGGCCGTAGTTAACAATTCTTTCCCTGCATTACTCTTCAAAGTGGAACAGTGATGCAGATAACAGCAGCTTGTGAGGGTGCTGTGTGATCGTGGACATGGAAGGATGGAGAGGGAGCTGTAATTAGCAGGGTGAAATCCTACACCCAACTTTTTCAGCTCAGGCTTATTAAAACCATTCAAAGTTGTGTGCATTTGTGTTTTAGTAATAACCTATAACAGTTACGGCTCAGTGAACAAGATTATGAGGAAACACAAATCCACTCAACAGGAAGGTGATTAAGAACTAATAAAACCTCTCGTCTCTGTTTATATTTTATTTGATAAAGACACGAGACCCCAGTGAGAATCAGAATTTGTTATTAACTCTTTTTTTAAAGTTGGAATAAAGATGTTGTTTCACTATATTTAATTGAAAATAGTGAAAAGGCATTAATCAGATGTTAAAATGACAAAATGTGACAGCTGAAGGGATAATTACCACCACAGAACTGCGTCTTGTTTTAATTCAACACTGCCTGCAGGCTCAGAGATGTTCGATAGAACATCTGAAATGACTGAACCCCTCAGCATGTTTCTCTGTGGTCGACCCCACCCACTTTTACTTCTGACACAACTCATGGAGACTCTTGTTGTGTTTAATTTAATTTCTGAGCTGTTTCAAATAAACCTAATTAGTTGTGCAATAATGTGCTGTTTGACATTTCTGAACTTTAACACAACTTTTCACAGCCCCACCACACAGACACAGCTGTTGAACTCTTAAACCTGCAGAGTGGCTCCATACACCTGTCTGTCTGATAAATCTGACACTATTTGCACTTTTAAAAACTAATTGTGACCAACGTGTGTAAACTTAGCAATTACCAAGCCTACATCTTGAATCAGTTTCTTGTGCCTCGGATTGATATGAACACAGTCAGACAGTGCTGCTATAAAGGCAGGGAAGAGCTGCTATGAAAGCTAAGATGTCTCAGTCGGACGTGAGTGCACAGTAATGTTAGAAAATAGGATCAGACTGAAAAGTATTCTTTTTTTAATTGCTGGAGTGCCACATAAAAGCTGAATATTTGAAAGCATTTTTGTAGATTGTTTTGAGTTTTTACAGCACCGCCACAAATCAAAGTGGTGAAAGTACACAAAACAAAATAAAAGGATGCTAGCAAAGCCAGAATGCCAATTTCTTTGTTTGTAATACCTCTAGCGCTTTACTTTCCACAAAAACCTGCTGCATTAACCCCAGATCTGCCATCTGCTGGAAAACCCAAGTATGGCAGGTGGCAAGGGTCAATTTCATTTATCTTTATTGATGTTATTATACAGTAAACAATAAAATGCATGGCCGTTATTAGAATGTTTCGTCATCTAATAAATTATTTGCCTCTGTATTCTGAGTTTTCTCATTTCATGAGTCAGGCGTGTATGGTTAAAATGTGAGGACCCCAGCAAGAGAAGCTTAGCAGAGAGAGAGAGAGATCCCATGGGAAACAGTCGCGAACATTGCAACTATCGCGAGCTTTTAATTTTTTGCGCAGGTGAGCGTGCACACGAAGTTTATTAACGCAGGTAAAATGCGTTTCCTCCCGACATGCAGAGTTCAGAACTTACAGGTACTGTCCGGATCCCAGCGTTTGATCGTGCAGCGCTACAGACAAGCCGAACAAGCTCCCTTTGGTTTTCCCCTCTTTGATCACAGGAAACCGTTCATCTAGATTAAATCCACAGCAGGTCCGAGTCCCGTGGTACACGGCCACAGCCACACACAGCAGCAGTCCTGGAAACATGCTCTAATTGTTACTTTGGTCCTTTCTGAGGTCCTGCGGGTCCGAGCCGACGCGACACCGTCCTGCAGTGAGGTCCAACAGGTAGGGGCTGCGCTGCTTCAAAGAGACATTCCCATTCGGAGCCGCGGCTTCCCTCCTCGCACCGACTCGGTGTAATCACTGCCTAGGTGTCGGTGCCTGCCTCCCCTTCCTTCTTTCCTCCCTCCCCCATCAGACCTCTCCTCACCCTCCTGAAACAAGTGCACTCGCTCACCCACCACCAGACACAGCAGTGTGGATTACAGACTGGGTTTCCTTTTCCTCTCAACGCTTCGCTCTGAATGAAAATACTATTGCTTTGTGCAGATCAGATACTTTCGGAAACCATCATTTCACAAGCAGGCCATGCCACAGAACCTCCCTGAACAACCTCAGTTTGGAGAAATAGCATTTTTTTCTACAAGACTGATGTGAAAGCTTAGCCAAGGCAAAAAAGTGTAGCTTTTCTCTTAAATATATTTTTTAAAAAGAATATTACTTTTTTACTACTTGAAGTAATTAATTTTCAAGCAAAAAAATAAAAACTAATTAAAATTAAATAAAATTTTTAAATGTCATAAAAGCCTTTTTCATAAGACACACTATGCCGGCTAGTCAGCGTAATACTGCCGTTACGGTGTGTCTTATGAACGCTCCGTGGCGGCATGACTGTGGGAATTTTTCAGCATTCATGCCGCCCGCTTGGTAGTAGTCATAGGACCGCAATGCCGGACTTGTGAATGCATATTACGTCTTTGTGCAACAGAAGGAAGTGTCATGATCACGTGTGGAATTACTGTCGAGCTACGGCTGGCAACGGTGTGGAAAATAAAAGTAAAAGCAGCAGTACATTTTACTTTTCGAATAGAATCCTTTGAGATGATAAACTGAAGCAATGCAGTGCTCTGGGGGCTTCTCTCCGTTAGAGCAGGAGCTCAGACCTCCTGACCATCCACGGCTTGTGAAAAAAACGTAATGATTGTAATAAAAAGTGAGTTAAGTCCAAGGAAAATGGAAGTCCACTGCAGCGCAGAGACCAACTCCTACCCACCTTTATACCACCATTGCATAGCCTTTTGTAAAAGGATGTGATTGCTTCATTACTGCCACGGTCTGACTATTTCTAAATGACCTAAGGCTCCCTGATGCCGACTCAGTGTTGTGGCAAATTGGTGGCATTCTTTTCTAGAAGAGGCTAAATTTACACCTAAACTGACTTTGCAACAAATATTCAGTAAACCTATCCCTAGACCAGACATGTCCAAAATAATGCTCAGCTCGTGGCCATTTGTGGCCCTCTGGGTGATTTTGTGCAGTCCCCAATTTCATTTCTAAAATAGTGAGATTTAAGCCGCTTTTATCAAACAATACCGCCAATTTGCGGCATCGAGGAGCCTTAGGTCATTGTCTAATAGTTGCGTCTTCAGCATCCTGTTGATCTCTTGGGTGTTCAGACTTTGCAAGCCTTAATAAAGCATGTTTTTAGTCATTTCCCTGCTCTAACACACGAGTCAGTGACTGAATCACCTATTCCATGGGCACTTAAAAAGTCTTTTAACCACTTACATGCTGGATAGTAGTCATCGAGGAGCAGGCTTAAAGACCCCCGATCTAGAACAACACTTCACTTTTTTATTTTGAATTTTAATCCCATTTTTTTTCCTTTTTTAATTAAAACAGTGATCAACTGTTTTATTGTTCATTTAGAGAATTTTGGACACCCCTACTCTTGACTGTGAATGGCAGCAGAAATTGCACTTAATTCAAATGTATTAGTACACACACTCATAATAAAGTACCACACAAGAAGTAAGGAACCGGGAAGAAGGAGACGAGACGTGTTACAAGGAGCTAGAGCGAGGAGGTTATGACAGCTGGACTGGCGTGGGGTGTAAAAAAAGGAGTTGAGACTAGACTGCCGGTGTGAGTGTGTGTTTGTGCGCGCCAAAGCTGCAACTACTAAGCAACTAACTCACCACTGATAACTGCGTATGTATAAACATTTTAGATATCAGCTCAATTGCTACAAATAGTTGACTTGCATTTAAACTTGAAATTTACCCCCGAAGTAGCTGCCGGCTTCTGATCCGCCATCATCTTGAAAATACTGCGGTGTATTATGGGAAATTTTTGACCAAGGCTAGGCTACAAGGCAACTCCCATATATCCTTGCTCAGCTAGCTAAATGGCTAACAAACGGAGAACAGACACCTCAGTAGAACATGAACATTGGAACACGCCTTGGCGGTTCGATGACGTATCTCCTAGGCAACAGGGGCGGGACCAAGACGTCAAGGCGAGGTTCCTTGGCATTGAGAAACATCCTAAGATTACAGCTACCATCTACTTCCTCAAACTGGAGTGCCAGAGTTTCTTTTCCTCAGAGATTGACTCATAAGGCATTCATTTATACCAAAGACCACAACAAATGGTATTGAAAAAAATGAATAAACTTGGTTTTTAAGCCATTGTCCATGTTCCAATGTTCTAAATCTTTCTGACAACTCCAATAAAATCCATCTATTGGACAAAGTTAATGACACAATGTTAATTTCCAAATGTAATGTTCAGAGTAGCCTATATGATATTAGTAACTTTTAGCTGCCAGCACCCCACAGTTTAGCTAAATATCTTTAACACCAACAGAGCTGTAGCAGATTTGCTTTGGCCAAGGCTGTGGCCATCTTGAGTTTGGTTGATTTCTAATGCAATCAGTTGTAGCTAAACATCCAAAGATGAATTTCTCTTTGCGTGACTTCCACACAGCTGAGATACTTTACAAATGATCCTATTTGGTTTTTATTGACTGTTGACACTCCATTATTTCATCCTTAAAGAAAATGTTCTCCAGACAAATGAAACTTGCTCAGATCAGTCCTGTTCTTCAAAATTCCATTTTCAGTTTTGACTCTCTCCATTTCTTCCTCTCAGATGGCACTGAAGCCCAAAGACTGCACAGATTTATCCATATAGTTGTTCCCATTTTGGCAACCCTGGCCCCCCTTGACAAGAATGCACCCATTTTCTGACTCTTTGCCAAGAGTGTGTGAGTAAGAGCGGCCTGCAAAAACAGCTGTTCAGTGATCAAAAGAAAGGGAGAGACTTCTTTGATTACCACTTCTTTGTTCACCTTCCACTCCAACTTTTCTGTTCACTGAGGAAGCTTTCTAAGTGGGCTGGAAGCCAAGGGAATTCACAAGACAATTCATGTACACGTTAGCTGTCCTAAAACCCATCCTCAGCAGCCAACGTCTGACTATCACTTTCCACTGAGTCATTTGGTCTATACATTTAGCAAATGTCTCAGGGGAAAGCCTTTAGTAGCCCGTGTCCTGGCAGTTGAACCGGACAGTTTTTCTCCCTTTTTTTGGGGGGGGGGGGGTCACTTAACAGGCCGTCTAATTGAGATTTTGGGCTGAGATGAGCTCTTCCAGGAAGAGGCAGGAAGCTCCACCCTGATGTTTGTATATGAATCAGACTGAGGCACACCAAGATGAAGCTGCTCCCTTCAATCTGCTGATTATCCCTACGACATCTGCAGCCAGGGCTTCAGTGCCACCAGAATTCATCTTAACTTAGACTTACTGGTGTTTCTTGCCAGTTTTGTGCTGCACATTTCAAGGCTATTGCTGGAAAGGTACCTATAAATATATATGTTTTTCTTGAATACATAAAGAAAAAACAAGCAAAGCAACAGTTTTGAAGAGGTTAAAAATACATTTGCCTCTGAATCTCAAAATGTAGCTTGTTCAATTGTTGAGGTTTTTTTTTATTTTTTTTATTTCTTTGCTAACATTATAAGCTAAACTTCAATGATACAACACTCAAATACAGAAGTTTATCTTTGCCATTTAGCAAAAATGTTTTTTGTTTGGACAAATCACGGAAAAGTCTCGTGTACGACATCCACCTACTGATTTGGTGGGCTTGTTAACACAGCAAAAAGAGCCGTGCTTTTTCCAGGCATGTCTGAGCACGGTGGGTGATGGGAATTTCTGTCTTGCCTTCTCTTTTATTCCTAACAAGTTGACACAAAACCCTCACCTTGCTTTCTCATCTCCATTTCCAATATGAAGACATGTACCTTTGTATAATCCTGATTTTGATATCATATCTGGGATAAGTTGTTCCCAAAATATTTTTTTGTTTAAGACTGCTGCTTTTACTTTGTTTGACAAAGCACCCTGACATTTGAATACATATTATGAAGTTTTAACACAAATCTTGTTTTGTATTTACTTAGTGAATCAGATGCCACACCTGGGTGCAGTTACCGCCCACGGTTCCTGTAGATTTCCTGTAGGATGTCCTTCCTGAGCCCGCTTCTGGTTCTTCCAGAGGATTCTTCTTGTTTAACGTAAGCTGCGCTTCCCACTGTTACCCACTGCATGCTTGCTCAGAACCACAGTCATGTGAAGATTCAACTGAGTCTGCAGGCTTTACTACTCTGGCGAATCTGATCAGGATTAGGGCTGAAACGAATCATCGAATGATTCGAATAGTTCGATTCATTAAATTCCTCGATTCATTTTTCACTGATTCGAAGCTTTGTTAAATGTGCACTCCACAGTCTGATTCCATGTCACTGGAGCACAATGTGGTCATCTAGGTGCTTTGGAGGAAAATAGAGAAACCAGCAAAGACAGAAACCATTGTAAAAGGCAGACACAGTCCAAAGTTTGGGATGAAGAGTTGAACTACAAGCATAATTGCTAATGCTAAGCTAGCGGGTAGCATTCACACAAGCAAGTGAGGTTCGGAAAAAACTTGATGGCTGTGAGCGTCTAAACTCCACAAGCGGAAGAAAAATCCCCATCAACCCTTTTATTTGTGATCTCTGCACCAGTGGGGGGCAGAGCCGCTGCAGCTACCGTTTGGATGTTGATATGTAGATAGAGTCTGATATGTATATAGATATATGTAGAGGTTTATATACATAGATGTGTATATAAACACTAGATGGCGAAAGCGGAAGTCGAGGGCGTAGCTAAATGGCGGCCATCTTACCTCAGACAACAGACCGCTCTGCTCTCAATGGTAGCAGCTGAAAGGTGAGTGATCAGCTTAAACAAAAACACCCTTAACTCGATGAAATATTAACGGATTTACAAGCTGTTTGCCTTATTACAACCCTTAGAACACATGGGCTTGAACCAACATACTTGCACATGTTGAA